TTATTTTCATTTCAGTGAATCATATAATATACGTGATATTGCATGGTAATCGTGATTCAATCAAAAAGCTCACATCTAATTCTAAACTCGAATCCGAGTATCTCGCGACAAATTTCAAGTAACGATTATTGATTCCGCCCTAAGTTCAACATTCGACGAGCTTTCCGATTTGCGACCCGCGAGATCTCCCGCGTCTAAGGAGAAGCGTTCGATCGGTTCTCACCCGGCGCGTCGTGTCATTGTTATTTATACGATAAATATCTACGTATAGCCCTTGATTCGCGCGTCAAACGTTTCACGCGAACTTTTATCGAATCCGATAAGAGACAGCGGGTCTCGCGAGACGTGATAGGATCGTGAATCCCGCGGCTCTCCATCGAGCCCGACAAACTGCTGACATTGACGTTGAAACGTTCGGAGAACCGGGCGTGTGTCGAACAATGGTAGGCTCGATGTCGTCCCGTAATGACAGTCGTATTTCGATTTCTACTCCGCCGTCCTTTGTGGACGCGAGGAAATGGACGCGCACTCGCGCGCGGGGAACGCGAGAAAGAGAGACCTCTCTTCTTCCTGGCATTTCCATACAATAGCGGGAAAAAGACGGTACGTATTGCGAGATATCCGGTGATGGCCTCCGGATGATAACGAGGCCGGGACGAGAGAGATGTCGAAAGAGCCGTACACATCCACACGAATCGAGTCTTCGCGGCCGGATCAGATTTTTCGCGACGTTGATGCATTATTCACAAGCACGCGTCGTGTCTCCTTCTTCCACCGATTGCCGAATTCTAAGACACAGTTCGCCGAACTGTGCGACAAACGCGTGCAATAAACTCGACTGGGACGGCTTCGAGGCGTGAAAATACCGCTCGTCGGTCGAATAAATCAAATAAAGCCGACTTACGGAGGCGGTCACGTGAGCCTCAAGAATAATTTTTCTGAATTATTATTATTATCAGGGTTATTAACACATCAATGTTATTGATAATCATTTATGCGAAATTCCAGTCAAATTCCCCGAAGTCTAGTCTTTTCGACTGAAGTAGGTTACACTTTTAGTCAGTAAACCGAAACAAATACATAACTCAATGTCGCAGGGAAATAGAGCGAAGTTTCAGCGCTCAGCCGAAAAGAGCGGGTCACAAGTTTGGCGCGGACATCCCTCTTCGGCTTCACTTTGGTTTCCTCGGTGAGTTCCGAGAGGCGGACGAGGGAATATTTACGGAAAGTTGAAATTTCCAGCGACGACGACGACGACGGCGGCGGCGGCGCCGACCGAGCGGATGGGGATACGCATGGTCGCTCAGCCTGAACAGTCCACCGGCTGAATACTATCGTGACGTCACTCGCTACGGTCACTGCCTGAATTATTCAGTATACCTTCGTTTCTAGTCGTCCGGGCGCGTGCAATCTCGTACCGAAAGTGTGTTTTTACACGATGCACTGCTCGTAGTAGAGCCCGAAGTTTCGCCGCGGCAGAGACCTTCGTTCGAAGACGAAGAGGAGAACGCCCGCGGAGAGACTGCGCTCGGCCGCTTTCCTCGGTCGCTTCTCATCGTCGAATTCGCACGTTCGCTGCCGCGTCGGAGAGGCAACGCTATAACATCGCCGTGTTTCGCATTCGCAGCTGATTCATTTCAGCATGAAACGTAACCAATTGCATTCCACGTGGGGAATAACCGCTGCCGAACTACCGACTCGGTACCGATTTTCAATGAACAATACAGCGAACGCCGATATCCACTTGATATTGGTGGAATACTGGAATGACAGCAATGGGCCGAGACTCGAAAGACGGTAGAGCAACCGTGCCGATTCCCAGTATTGCAAAAATATCGGAAAATCATCGATCCCCAATACCGGGACAGTGCCGTTTCCAGTAATGATTATCATTATTATACGATTGTTAATTGCCACAGCCATACTGTGGAAAGTAATGCCGGAATATGGCCGGAAAGTGCTGGTTTGCGCCCGCAAATGTTCACTTTTAATGTCGCAGAGATGAAAAAACTTGAGAGCAAAACAGGCCGGATTGGGATCGTACTTGGTCTTCCGCTCGCCAGGCAACCGCTTTTACCACTGAACTATTCTTAAGCCCCCACCTTGGTGGACATTTCCCGTTTTTCTATTTAAGGACGTATCGCTCAGAGATTAAGTCATTTTCTCCCGATAATTTGATAAATTCGTACCTGGAGAGATCGAACTTCAGTTAGACGTTGAAATGATCAACGGGGATCGAAGCGGAGGTAGAACCGCATTGAAAATCGCCCGCTCGATCCCTGCGCGATCTCGGTTCCTCCCCCTCCGGTTGAGAACTTTATCGGCGATATCGCGACAATATCGCGAAGAGAAAAGAGCGGCGCGATGGCGCGCGTAAATTGGCCGAAAGCGCGCGCTTGGTTTCAGGGATGTAATCAAAAGTGATATCCCGTAACGAGGTATCCCCGAAGGACGGTCTTACGGCCTCGTGTTAATAACTACAACGATCCCGCGGCGATGGCTATCGAGAATTAGATAGAAAATTGCCTCGATCTCTCGGTACGACTTCGGTCCGGAGGTTTCATTAAATTCTTTAAGAGACGCGGAATCGATGGATCCGCCATGCGTGGATGCTATCGAGTGGTATCTCGTCGGCGGCCAACAACCGGCCGCGGTATCGGCCGGATCGATTAACCACGGTGGGAAAACAGGAACGCGCGGATGATCGTGCCGGGAGATAGCATCTCGCGCAGGATTAATAGCTAATTTTTTTCGGCGGCGTGAAACGAGCGAGGGTCCGTTAGCCGCGTTCGGACGGAAAGCGTGGAAAATGAGCGGCCGACTCATTGCCGATCCGTACCGATCCAATACTCTTGCCTCTCTTCTCCTTCGCTCGTCTCCCTCTCTCTCTCTCTCTCTTTCTTTCTCATGACCTTTTCTCGACGCCCGCATTTGATTTATGGGCCGGTCGCCTCGCCGGCGAGAATCGCTTCGCGTTCACCTAGAAAGCCGACAACAGCCGACAACATTATTCGCCGATCACAGTGTCCCACGCCGAGCGGAGAAAGAAAGAGAGAGAAAGAGAGGGAGAAAGAGAGGCTATCCAGTCGGTTAGGTTGCATAATACCCAAGTGGCATGTAATGAATCGCCGCTTTGTCGGGTATTAATAGGCGGCCTCGTGAGGATTTTCTCTCGTCCCTCTGTTGTCACCTCCATCTTCGATCGTTCGACGATCTCTGATCGGCAGGCCGCTGAATTTCCTCCTCTAACGTGGGCTCGTGCAGAATGAACATTTCCAAATTTAAATTTGCAGATATTTTGCTTCCCAGATTTTCGTTTCGAGATTTTAATTCCCAGATTATAACTATTATATGCGATTGTTCGACCACCGCCTGCGGGAAATGCACTTGGCTAAATTCGAAGTCGCGCCCAGACAGACAATGCGTATTGTTCGAGAAGCGGGACTTACGGTGTGATATTCCGGACGAATACCAGGCGAACACGCGAGAGACGATAACGGAAGGTCGCGAGATCACGCAGATCGCCGCGCGGAGATCGTCGTTGCGCGAAGATAGTGTACTGATAATGAGCAGGAAAGTCGGTAGAAGGAGGTTTGTAGGTCTATGCCGATTACGATTGAAGCTAATTAATTACCCGACGCGGCGGATTACCTCAAAGATCCCATTACATAGCTCGTTTAACGAGGAGCGGCTTAAAAACGGCGCTATTATAACGTCGGACGTGTTATTAATCGAAATAACTGCCCCGCGGCGATTAGGGGAACAGCGTAAAATTCGTAATAACACGCTCGCCTTCGTAATAACAGCCGGAGTCCCCGCGATTAATTGCGCAAAGCTATCGACGCGCTCGTTTTGCTCGCGTATTGTCGTTCTCGCGCTCGTCTTCGTCGTCGTCTCCGTCTTCGCTTTGTCGTCCCGTCCGTCCGCAATGTCGTTCGGTCGGGACACACGTGGACCGTTCTGTACACGCAAGCTCTCTCACACCGGCGGAGTAGCCTCGTTAGAATCGTGATTTCGGAGAAGCACCGACTATTAGCTCCGTAACTCGTCCGTGTCTCCTCCCTTTCTCTCTCTCTCTCTCTCTCTCTCTCTCTTTCTCGCTTCTTCTCGTTTCTACGCGCCGCTTTTGCTCCCGAAGCAGATCGTTACCGGCGTAGAAGCGGCGAGTTTTTGCCAGTAAAGCGAGGTGGAATGCGCGCCGAGGCAGCGTCAACGGATCCATAAAATCCGCTAGCGCGCTTCGCTTCGAGTTCGAATCTAGCCGCGCGCGCGAGGCTGTCGCGAGACGGAGGAGGAAGCCTCTCGGAGGGAGGAGCGTTCATTGTCGGAAGGCATCCCGCAGAAATCCACGGAGAATCCACCTCCGAACTGCCGCAGAGTTTCCGTCTGCCGCCCTGATAGCAGAAAATCGATTAGACGAACCGAGTTCCTTTTTCCGTGTTTTTTACCACGACTTTTACATGTAAAAGAAGATTTTCCCGTTAAGTAAAAAGAAAAAGGATCTTGCTTGTTCAAATATTCATTTGTTTGTTCCGTTTCAAGAGACAAGTGCGCGTTAATTAAAGAAAATTTACTTCCAATCCGAAGAAATCTTTTTCCACTGCATACTTTGACACCCATGAACTTTTTAATTGTAAATAATTCTAATTTAATTATTAATAATAAACAATTTCCGCTAATATAGGACCTTTAAATACCAATGACACCGTTATCACGTTTTTAGAACAGAAAGAAACGAAATTATTGGCCCACTCCGCTTGACATCTATCTTGTTTCGTGAAAGACATTCGAACGGAAGTTGGTTTTGAATTTTACTCGATTATTAGAAGGAAGGGAGAAATTAATTCCCCGTTAAACAGACAAGTAAGTAAACGGAGGCGCGCGATGTTCCCTCGATTTTCCCGAGATACAAGCTGCCGATCGTAATCTCGCGCGCGCGAAACCGCGGCATCGAGGAACTTGACCCGAGTTAATGCGAGTCTTCGTTTTTCTCGTTGCAGCAATGCCAGCTGCTGAAGAAGGAGAATCGGAGGCTGCAGAGCGCCTTCCTGCAAAACGGCTTCCTTCAGGCGCGGGTCGATACGCTCCAATGGCAGTTCAAACAGGTTCGTAGCCGCGCCGGTGAAAAATGTGCGGAAGAAGCGACTGATAAGGTGGCCAACCGGTTTACCTCGCTCCGGTTACTCGATATCGCGTCACGTAACAACCGGTCGGCACGGCCAGTTTTCCCCCTCGATGATCTGGGCGATTTTCGATGACCCGATTTTTCCCGTCTGCCTCATTATCATTTCATGAATGAACCCCCGCGTACATGCGCGCCGCGCGACCTGCCCTTTCAAACGATTAACTTTAAACGCGTAATGTCAGTCTGCGATGCCGATCATACCCTTTTTTTTTCCGTTTTCATTGTTTCCGAATCGTGTATCTACACGGAGGAAATTCATGTCAATTCAAATCTTATATTCTTATATGTAAGCAAGAATATGTAATCTCATATAAAGATAAAACTCGCTTGCATGTAAAGAAATTTTATTGAAAATATGATATTGTTGTTATTCAAGAAAAGTGCTCATGAACTGAGAGAAAAAATATTGGATAGAAAAAACGACGTCCTCGAACTAAGAATTATGTACGTCACACTTGCTATGTCAAAGATGCGGAGAGATTTCCATCGAATGACAGGAATCCAGTCAACACCGAGCAACATTGTAAATGCAATTTAACACCAGTGTCATATCATATTTACATTGTCGAGCGCAAAATTATAACACAGATGTAATGTGATGCTTGGTGTTGACTCGGAAGGTTCTTCGATCAGGGATCAGACTAATCTACCGCTAAAGATACAGAAAGACAAAGAGATTTCCCAGCGAAGATAGAGAAAGACAAACGGACGAGCGGAAGGAAACGGAAATTGCAGGGATCAAGAGATAACGCACGTTCCGTTCACCCGTAGGTCGAATCGAACCGGCAGATGTACCGGTCCGTGATGGAACAGGTCGCCTACTTCTTAGACCGCGCCCACAAGAGCCTTGAGATCCTTCACACCAAGGACAATCCCAAGGACAAGAGGCGCGTGCCGCGAAGTCGCAGCGTGCACGCGGTGGTGCACGCTGACCCCTCGCCGAGTCGCGTCTCGACGTCCTCACCTTCGCCGTCCGGTTCCTCGCGATTCACGCGAGCCAAATCGGTCACGCAGATGTCGCCGAGCGTCAGCAGCATCCGCGACTTCACCTGGTCGGTCTTGCGCAAGAATGACCCGGTGTATTGCACGACGCCGCGCACCAAACCCTCCCAGGATCTCAACAAGTCCCACGACGACATCGTTTATCAGGAACCGAAGCAGTCGGAGCTGAACCCGGACGAGATACCGCCGGAGAAACTGTCCCAGGAAGCGTTCAGGTGCGTACGATACATTTCGACGATGCACTTTTACGATACACTTCCGACCGGTTCCACCGTTTCCACGGACGGTTCACTCTTTGCACGGGGAGAATTTTACAGGGGAAATTCGAGAATTTCGTAACTGAGGAACATACCAAGATTCTTGAATTTATTTCTCAATTCGTTATCCTTCCGCTTCAATTTTTATCTGCTATTTATATTTTAGGAATTAAAGTTTACCACAAGGAAATTTACTGTTAAAAAATTGAAATTAAGTCAAAATTCAAAATTCACCGTTCAAACCGTTTATTTAGTTTCTCAGCAAGATAAACGTCAATTGACGTCTGTTTCTGCGCTACTAGAGAAAAATTTACATGAAACAAGCTGTAATATTATCTTCGTCCACCTCCTCGTTATTCGTTTAGTCGATCGTCACCAAGTAGTCGGCCACGTGTATTTCTTACCAATTCTCAATTATTATTTACGCTTCGATTACATTCCTATTTTTGCTGATGTTGTTCCGTCCGACATTCGCGTATTGATCCGACGGCAATGCCACCGCAGGTTATTGAGGCTCGTCGATTCTTTATTGGCGACGCGGGAGCCGGATTTGGCAAGGGTAACGCCGGTCGAGGACAACGGATCCTCTCCTTCGCCGACGGAACGTCATCATTACCACGACGTGTCGGCCTCCCTGCAGAGTGGCAATTTCGTCAACTCGACGACCTTACAAGAAGCGGGCCACATCGGCGGCGACCACCGAAACGAGTCCAGCATCGCTCAAGGCGACTCGGGCAGCTCGTGCTTCGTCAAGAACTCCGAGATGAACGCGAGCTTGCAAGCCACCTTGCCGCGGACGAGAAGGTCCCCGGACGCCGCCTCCTGGAACTCCGGCAGCAGCAAGACTACCGAGGAGGAGGACACCACTGCGCTCGCCACGTCGTCTCCGAAGCAGCTGGAGAAGAAAGAGCCGACTTGCAAGGCCAAAAGCCCGGTCAGCGTGAGCAGCGCCGAGAGCGAGAGCGGTTTCTCCTCGATAAGCTCGTTCCAGGAGGTCGGCCTGCCGTCGACCTCATCGATCAGGCCTATCAAAGGCTGCCACACCGAGGTCGGCCTGCCCGAGGTACCCTTGGACAAGACCAGACACCGACGGTGGACCTCCACGCCGGCGGAGCTCCAGGCGCTCTACAAGCTGCTCTACAGCCAACATCGGGGGAGCTTCGGCGGCTCGCAAGCCACCACCGAGTCCGTCAGCGTGTGCTGGGTCTGAGACGCGCGGGATCCGCGCCGAATAACCCACCGCATCGTCGATGGTTTCGGTCGCGGATCGGCGGATCAACATCCAGCCACGTCGCGGACTGATCGACACTCCCGGAAGCGATAGGGGATCGTTAAGCTATCCAGCGAGTGGTAATTTTGTAAATAACTTCCTACATATGCGCGCCGTCAGTCTCCTCGTCACGTCGAGGAATTAATCACGAAGGGAGCCGCAGTACTGATTACGGAAGACGATGACGGCGGCGGCCGACCGACCGATCGATCGGTCGTCTCTCCCTCTCTCGGGAGACGTTTACTCTAGTAACGTTAATTATAACTCATATCTAAGAAATGGTACGTACGTTAGTATCGATAGCTTCGAATAGTATGAGTGTGTGAATAATTGCATCGACGAGGAAGTCTGCGTGGAGAAGATTCATTAGCGAGAAAGAGAGAATCGAGAGAGAGAGAGAGAGAGAGCTGATCGAGCGATACGAGATTATTTTGCGTCATCTGGTGAATTTCCCGTTCCACTTCGTCTCGGCTACATTGAAAAAGGGATTTGGCACGATCACCAAACACTTAGTTAAATAGTTTCAATTAAAGCTCGTTTCTACCATCGTGGTTTGAATGTAATCAACGACCAACTCAACGGAATTGATCAATCGCATTGATCAGTTCAGCTAATTGGCCGATGCGATTGGTCAATTCCGTTGAGTTAATCGTTGATTACATTTAAACCATACGCTGAGAAAAAGACTTGAAAATTGACTTTGTGAAACATAAGATTTATTTCATAGAAAAGAACGTTTATTTAAATGCGACGAAATAAAATTTTATTCCTAGCAAATAAATCAATTAATAAGAAAACTTAAGTATATCTCGCAAAAATATGTATTCTGTCGTCACAATCGAATTCTTTTTCTAATCGATAAACATCGAATGAAATGTCATGAGAAACATTTACTTCGCAAAATTTCAGTTTCCTTCTCTCGCTGTGACGGTAGAAATGGGCATAAATAATTCTATTACAGCAATTAAATGATTTAATCGCTTTAACCGAATCACTTAATTGAAATTATTTCACCAAATGTTTGGTAATTCTTATTTCAAATCCTTTTTTAAACCCAGTACAACCCAGCATGCCCAGCTTCCTCAAAGAGAGTTCTTCCTCCTCAGAGGGAGAGTCTCTTCGTGCACGTTCACGTGTGACCTGAATGTGCGCGAAAGGTCAATACACGAAACGTCCTTTTATCGCTGCACGGAGTGACGACAATGCATGCCGGTTTTTGTTTGACATTATCGCGGAGAATGAGCATTAAGCACGCGCGAACGCGCCAGCTAACGATAAGAGGAAACGCGTTACAAGAGGAAAATGAGGGCTCGACGCGATCTTGTCTCATATAAACGTCTCCACGTGTATTTCTCTCTCTCTCTCTCTCTCTCTTGTCTTAAGTACGGAGGACGAAAGAGAAGTGTGCTTTCACGATGTTCCGCTATCAGCCATATCACACCGTAGTTTCGCGCGAATCCCGTGTACCGGTATCGACGAAAGTTCGCAAGCGACGTAGACGCGCGATTATACCGACGACCTCGTACATACACTCGCTCTCGACACGGTCTGAGCGTTCTCTTTCGATGTAGGCCGAGACACAGTCTATGTCCAATGGGAAAATTTGATTTCATCTATCATTCTCAGATGATAAATGAATAAACGAAGAAATGAAAAAAAATGATAAGGATGATCCGATACTTTCTGAAAAAAAGAAACCCGCGAATCTCGCTGTCTATTTACAGACCACGTCAAAACCGCGTGTATCGGATCGACTTGTCGTAAAAAAATTATCTCTAGTAATTTATCTGTAATAATTTATAATCTAATAATTTGTAATTTATAAATCCTCCCATTGGACATCGGAGGTGTTTCGAACCGCACTCGAGGGAAAGGTGTTACCCAAACCGCGTTGGAACCGAGTATACACATACACACCGTGCAGTTCTGTTCGTTCACTGAAAATTCGCCGGCCGAGCTCGGCGAGATCACCTAACCCGACATCGCCGAGCGCAGCTCGCGATGCATGACCGCTCCCGTTTTCTCGAAATTGCCTTAATTAATCGTACCGTATGCCGTTATTATCCAACAAATGAATGATTAGTCACTGCACAATGAATGATGTATTGCTGGACGGAGCTGAATGCTCCGTCGGTTTCTGAATTGTATGACGGAGGTAACTTACGATCTTTAACCCGACACCTAGCTTAAGTTTTAGCGTAATTCGATCTATCCAGACGAGCGTGGCGACTCGGAGCTGAAAGGGTGCGAAGAGAGACGCGACGAAGTGTGCGTTCGCCCTTCGAACGTCCGAACGATCGATTCTTCTCTTTCGTTTCTTTGTCTTGCTTTTCTCACCTGAAACTTACACGTCGCACGTCGAACGGATATTTAATCGACGAATCGGAGTCCGCCTGTTGCCGGATGCTACCCGGCCGAACTTACGTTTCGTACGTTTCAGTCATTTCACGCAGTGCGCCTCTGCTGTCTCCGCGATTTTCTCGCGCTCGCATTAACGCGTTCGCCGTCACGATTCATCTGGCTAGCCCAGATTCGCTTTTTATGCAATTGTGTAGAACAAATCAAGTTTGTTTATGTGAACATAGAGAGAAATATGATCGCTGTTGCACATGTGCGACGCCGGCTTCTTGTGAGGGATCTCTCCGCGTCACGCATGTGTGACGCGGCGAACGTGCTAATGCTCCAAGCGTTCGGATATCTTATTATCTGGATCACGAAATCGTTTCCGACCCACGAAAACTCAAAACTACTCGGACAATCCGGATAATCCAAGATATTCTGACCCGGATTCGAACCAGGATCGAGATCCGGATTCAGAATCGAATTCGGATCCGATCGAGTTAGATGAAGTCATTAAATTGCTGTTAAAAAATATTGATTTATTGACTGTCGAATTTTCGAGAGGAATCCAAATTGCAGTAAACGTCTGTGTCTGGCCGAATCCGCCTAGATTTTAGACTCGAATCCGACGATGTTCAGCTATCCCGGAAAATCCGAATTTTATGAAGACGACCTGAACTTCTTAAGCGACGCATTCATCCGTCATCGGAACAATCGAATATCTGAATAGTGTTAGGTGCGAGCGATTCTTTTGAAACTCTAATCGCAGGATATCCCCGTGATTCTCCGCTTATATTTGCAGTTGAACAATTATTACAGTGAAAAATGAGTTTGATTGGATCTACTTGACAACGGACAGCCGAACGCATTTTAGTTGAAGGGAACGGAATTTCTGGTTGTAAGAATCAAATTTGTTTAATGAGAATTCGAAATTTCGTCTCCCTCAAAAACGCTTTTGGTCATTCATTGTCACACGGGAAAAAATTAATCCTAAAACAACGATAGATATTCTTACACACAAGTAAGAACACTATAATCTTCTCAGAAGGTTTTCAGTCTTGATTCGACTGAATTTATATTGATGCAAATTCATTCGCATTCAAGTCAAAACTAAAAATCCTCTAAGAATATTATAATATTCTTGCTTAGATAGAAGAATATCTGTCACTGATTTAGGACTATTTTTTTCCGTACAGATAGATTCAACCAAACTTATTTCCCGGCGTAAAGGAATCGATCGCGCGCGCGCACGTCCGCATGTTACCATTGTGATAGTTGATTCGTTCGGTTCGCGAAGTACGACGTTCAATTTTCAGATCGCGAATCTACGGAATTAGCGAGCGAAGTCGCTCGAAAATCTCACTGCCGTTCATCGTACACGCGCTCCATCGTCCGTGTGCTCCACCTTGGCTCGCTTCCGGAGAGTAACGCGCCATTTAAACGCGACGAAATGGCGCGATCTGAGACTTTGTGTACTTTCTCGAACTTAGAATATATCTGTATATTTCTCATCGTGCGTAATTTGTCATTTGTCATTCGTAATTGTATAATACAGCTGAATACCGTGCGAAGAAGCGTCGTTCTACGTGTTTGGTTTTCTCTATTCTCCCTTACCCACGTTTCTCTCCCGATCGCTTATCATGTCATTTTGCCTACAAAAACAGAATCTGCACTTTTTCGTGATAATTATGATTTAAATTATAATTATTTCAGGATAATATTATTACTTGCGCAGACTACATTCTCTTCTTCTCAAATATATCCGCGCAACAAGGGACACTACGGCCATCTAACGTGAACACAAGGAGCTGCACGTGGCAACCAGACATGCACGTGATCGCATACACTTGTCATCTGACAGGCGTCTCGTCTATATTCTATGATTACAAAGAACTAACGAGCTCCATTGAACTAATTGCCGTTAATTTACATTGAAATATAACTTCTATGTTGACTTAAGTCACCATAGCGGCACTCGAAGCGCCCTTTTCCCATAAAACGAAGTAGGTAGGTCAATATCTAGTCGCATATATCTAAAGCTATCGAGGAAATCTGAGAAACGGAGTCTATTCACTGGTACGGTAACTCAAGATTTCTCTCCTGCCTTAAAGATCGCTTTAATATCTAAGAGAATTTTCGATACTTATATATTGTTCTTAATTTAATCGAATAGTAAGCCTTTATTTCTTAGATTGCTCTAATACTTAAGAGACCTCCTGACATTTTATATTATTCTTAATTCACCCGGATAGTAACTCAAGTCTTCTCTCTTTTGTTAAACAAGCCTGATATTTAAGCGATTCTTCGATATTTTATATTATTTCTGACTCATCCAAATAGTAATTCGAAAGCCTTTACGTTACATCGCGCCAATGTCTAAGATATTTTTGGACATTTCATATCGTTCTTAAATCGGATAGTAATTCAAGTATTTCCCTTTTCGTTAAATCACTCTAATATTTAAGAAACTTTTCGACTATTTTATTATATTATTCTTAATTTACCCATAAATAGAGTAATCAGTTATTTCGCTTGTCATGTTACCCCAATATCGAGGACATTTCTTGACACTTCATATCACTGTTCGTTCATCTCGATAGTAACTCAAATTACCCCTTCCCCTCTCCTCCCTTTCATCAGATCTTAAGAGATTCCTCGACACTTCATACTATTCCAACGAAAAGTCGACACGAATTCAAATTCACACGTCGTGGCATAGAAATCTTCGCTAGCCGAGACGGCGGGACTGCGAGCGGTCTCGAGAGTCAGGAATTTTATCTGTGAAACACGACCTCGCGCTGACTTAACCGTTCACCGGTGAACCCTTCGCGACGTTTAGAACGCAACATGTGTAGGACAGCCGAAGCACTCGTCGCCATCGGGGCATAGCCCCGTTATTCCGAACGACCGTTTCTCACACGTGGCGGGTCCTCCGGTCGGTCTTACTCAGACCTTCGGACGCGATTTCGTCATCCGCGCTCCACTATCCGCCACTTAATCGGAGATAAGTTCTCGAGAGTTCTCGAACGTGGTCACCGGCTACGTTGACCCGGGCGACCTCCTCCTCCCTGCGGACACAGCTGTGCCACTGGCACTTTCGGCGAGGTTCTTAATCCGATCGGCGTTTCACCCCGAACGAGAAGAGCCGCGGGAGGAAGGAAGAAGCGCATCGACCGATCGAACGGGAACGGCTCGCTTCGGCGCCGGTCGACGTCGCGTCTCTGACGCGCTGCGGCGTCGCGGTGCTCTGCGGGCTTCTAATGCGGCGGGGGGGAGGGCT